AAAGGCATGAAGTTGGATAAAAATTTGGATTTGAAATGTTTGCAGCATATTATTTGTGGTGTATTATCGAGGACACAAAACTGATCAAAAACAATTAAAATGTTATAGAAAAACAAGTGAAGAACTGAATAAATTTCGACCCATCAAAGAAGTACCAAACCAAATAACACACACAATAACACAAGAGAAGCTAGAGATGTTCAAATCAATGGAGAATTGGGCACAAGACAACTTACTATCTTACCTCAAACCCGTCGAAACTTCATGGCAACCACAAGACTTTTTACCCGAAACCAACGACGAAGACCGATTCTACGAGCAACTGAAAGAGCTAAGAGAACGAACAAAAGAGATTCCCGACGATTACTTTGTAGTTCTTGTCGGAGATATGATCACCGAAGAAGCATTACCTACTTATCAAACGACGTTGAATACCCTCGACGGCGTTAAAGATGAGACCGGCGGGAGTTTAACGCCGTGGGCGGTTTGGGTTAGAGCGTGGACGGCGGAGGAAAATCGTCACGGTGATTTGTTGAATAAATATCTTTATTTAACGGGTCGTGTCGATATGCGACATGTTGAAAAAACTATTCAATATCTTATCGGATCTGGCATGGTACGTTTCTGATCTCAGACTATTTATATGCATGATTCTTTTATATCATTCCTTTTACAACCAAATTTTAATTCTGATTCAGCTTCATTTTTAAATTTAATTATTGGTTTTATGAAATATAGAGACCAAATGAATATGAATCTTTTACCAAAAAAAGAAAGAATATGAATCATATTGATGGTTTTATAAATCGTTTCACTATTCGGTTTGATTCGGTTTCGTTATGGATTGATTATTTCACAAGGTTTTATGTTCGGTTTAGTATAGCCGAATTTTTCACTCCCGTAATTATACTTTCTTGAGGGCGCTATATGCAATTATACTTTCTTGAGGTCAAAATTGCAATTACTTTTCAGGACTCAAAGTTTGAGAACAATCCATACAATGGCTTCATTTACACTTCGTTCCAAGAGAGAGCGACTTTCATCTCCCACGGAAACACGGCGAAGCTAGCCACAACTTACGGCGACACGGCGCTCGCCAAAATCTGCGGCACAATCGCGGCGGACGAGAAGCGTCACGAGACGGCGTACACAAAAATCGTCGAGAAACTCTTCGAGATCGATCCCGACGGAACCGTAACGGCGTTAGCGAGTATGATGAAGAAACGAATCACGATGCCGGCTCATCTGATGCACGACGGTCGCGACGACGATCTGTTCGATCATTACTCCGCCGTTGCGCAGCGAATCGGAGTTTACACAGCGACGGATTACGCCGGGATTTTGGAGTTTTTGTTGCGGCGGTGGGAGGTGGAGAAATTAGGGTTGGGTTTGTCCGGTGAAGGAAGGAGAGCACAGGATTATCTGTGTACCTTGCCGCAGAGGATCAGAAGGTTAGAGGAAAGAGCTAACGATAGAGTCAAGTCAAAGTCAAAACCTTCTGTTTCGTTCAGCTGGATTTACGGGAGAGAAGTTAAACTATAGAGAGATAATAATAATATAATAAAACGACAAAAGATGTTGCGTTTTTATTAAGAGTGGCATGTATGTAATTAATGAAGGAACTGAGGAGTGTTTTAAATAATGTAATAAAGAAAGTAATGAATAAAACGGTAAAAGGTTTTGCGTTTTAGTGAAGGAAACTGTATCATCCGGCCCATGGGCCTGAAATATCAGAAAGGAGTGGCAAAGGTGTAAATAAGAGAGTAGATGAGGGATATTCTAGAGAATAAAAAACTTGGTATTTTAATGTCACAAGCTCGATTATCACGCCCAA